ATTAAATTAGAATTAAAAAATATTATTATTTCAATTATTAATTTCATTATTAATATAATAAATTTATAATTTAATATTCATTATTAATTCAAAAATATCTAACGAAAAAAAAAAATTCAAAACAAAAATAAAATATCATTTTCACTTATAACTTTTATCAGGATAGTCCAAAGATGAAAATTTTATTTTTATAATTAAAAATTCTATTATTATAAAATAAGTTTATTAAATTAATTGATTATTTTTTATAATAAAAATAAATAAATAATATGTATGTATATAGTTAATAAATGTCAAATTATTAAATAATATAAGGTGTATATAATAAATAATAATAAATAGAAAAAAATATTACATGTATAAATCGAAAAATATAAAAATGTGAAAAACTGGATGACATTCTGCGATATTCCTTACAATACTCAATAACAATAGGACCTGCTGAGATACGATGATCGTCTACGTTGCCCTAGCATTGTCCACTGTCACTTGTAGGGGTTGAACACCCCTTGGTTAGCGACAGATGGACGGTAGAGGGGGTCCTAGTAATTATTATGCGATTACCCACAAGCCCATTGATTTAGATTGGACCCCGGGGGGTGTAGTGCACGATGCTCTGGGCCCGTCTTCAAATTTGCTACACATCACTCGTCAAGAACTTTGCAATCGTTTAAAACTTTATGAAATGTATACACTGATAGTTATAAAATGATATGTCTTTTTTCTTCTTAATATATTTAGTTTCTAAGAAATTAAATTATAATTTAATTATAATAATTTTTTTGTTTTAAATTTACTTTTTTTCAACTATTACTATTCGCATTTGAAAATAAAATTCTTGAGAATTGTAATCGAGAATTATTTTTCATTTTAAAAAATATTGCATTGAAAATGATGATTATTCGATATTAATTCTCATATTTAATGAATTTAATAATTCAAGTGAACTAATTATAATTGATTAAGAATTAAAAATTTACAATATTTATCGGTAATAGATAAATTTCTTAGAAAAAAAGAAATTTAATTATAAAGAATTTAATAGAAAATATGAATGTTTTTTTTCAAATTACAAGAAACATTCCATATATTTTTCTTCTATTTCAATATTGAAAACACATTAATATATTAATTTTCAAATATTTCTTTCTTATAACATCAATTTTCTATTCGTAGTCATATAAATTTGTTATCATTGATGAACAAAATATATTTGAACGTCCCGTTGAAAAAAATCCAAATTTTTTATTTGCATTTAAAAGAACTTATATGCAATATTAAACATTATAAAAATTTAAAAATAATATAAAACAATATAACGTATAAAAATTCGTACAAAAACGTAACGTACGAAAATTTTACATATAAAAAATTGATTTTAAAATGTATTCATTAATTATTTTCTATTTTTTTTATAATTAGTAACAATTATATATATACAAATATTTATAGTAGAATTAATTTTTTTTTATCAATTTAAATTAAAACAAGACAATAACAAATATAATTAAACTAATAACAAATATTACTTTAATTAAATCAAACAAAAATAAATATTATAATTAAATAATTAAAATCATTACCTAAATAAATAATTTTATATTTCATTTATGAAAATATTTTTCTTATTTTTCTTATTTTACAATATATATTTTATTGTATATTTCATAATATATTTATATTTTATATAATAGATCATCTACAATTTAGTACTTTTCAATTTTCTGTTAAAAAGATAATCAAATTATTTGTAAATAAATTAATTCTTAGTCATAAGAATAAAAATTTCACAAAAAAAAAAATAAAAATAAAAAAATACTTGTATATAGTGTAGTTTATATGTACATATATGTACATATATATGCGTTTGTATATATTTTATATATGTTTTATAAATA